AGCCACACTAGCTGCCCCCCCCCCGCCCCCGCAGACCAGGGAGACGAAGCTGCAGAGGACGCCCGCAGTGGGACAGCCCAGACGCGCCGCAGCTGTCCCGCTGCGGGCGTCCTCCGAGGCTTTGCTCCCCGTCTCCCTGGTCTGACCAGCAGACCAGGGAGACGGGGAGCAGCTTTTCTCGCCCCGGAGAACGCGGGCGGCGGGACTGCGGCTCATCTGGGCGTCCCGCCGCTCCTGTCCTCCAGGGCGAGAAAAGCCCCGTTCGTAACTGCGGATACGACATAAGTCGGATCCGCGTAACTCGGGGACTGCCTGTATCTGGACACTTATTTAGGTGGCTAAGTATGGATTTAGAACCCTCACTTCAGGCCGTTTTTAAAAATCATATCCTGAATCTATTTAGATACCACCATTACCACTTACCTTCTTATTCTCCTATCAAAGAGAATACATTTCATTTTAAGACACCAACTTTTTCTAAGAATATTCAGGTTATTCCAAGTTTAGCTATATCATTCTAACATACAGTAATGTAGGCACACTTTCATTCAAGTGTATTTGTGGGCTGGTTGCATAGTCCTCAAGAACTTTAAAATATGCATCTCTGTTGATTACAGGTGCTACAAGACACCCCTCCCACCAGAAACCTCTCATATTACATAATACTTAAATCTCATTGATTCCATGTGGGAGTTCTATAGGTCTGTTTTATTTTCTGTCACACACATTTAACATTTGTTAACAAATTCTGTCTTTGAGAACTGTAAATTTTACATGAAGTGAATATTTTACTCACTTGCTTTTCAACTCCTTTTAGCCTGGTCTCATCTTTCTGGAAATAATTAAATGCTTCTTTCACCAATTTGTCCAAATCTACTTTACCCTGGAACTCTAATTCAGGGGTTCTCTCCAAAATAACAGATATAACCATTAACAACTAGAATAGAAAAAAAATAATAAACATCTTGAATTTTAGGCCAGTTTAAAAACAGGTTATGTAAAAGATGCCTTTATCAACACAAAGTTATGCTTGATTTAAGCCATAAGGGGATTTCTGAAGAAACATCTTCATTATAACACTGTATACTATAGAAAAAGCAGAATTTTATGTAAAATACAAGTTTGAAACTGATGAAGTAAACAGAACAGTCAAAAGATTATAATAATCTGAGCAAACAACCAGTACTAGAGAATAGGTAAGGGCAAGAATTTGTAAATAGAAGACACATTAATCAACTAAAAGCCAAGGGATCCTGAATTCCTTGCAGCTGAAACAGCACTTGAAATGGGAATAACTGATCTGCATGATTGGCACACAGGCCTTAACAGTATGAATAGCAATTGGTGAAGGAGTGCATGTTGATTAATTGAGACCTTGGTGATTCTAGATCATATCTTTCAGCTGCAAGGTGCGTTATACTCAACATGCCATTGATTGTTGGGCATGATCAAAACAGTTTTGAACTTCTAACTGTGGGGGAATATCCAGAGACAGAATCATGGTGGAATGGTACATAACAGGGTAGTAAGATTGTCTGTTGCCTCACTTTGATAGGTAGGTATGGTAACACTAGAGGAAGCTATTGGTTAAATACTGTTGATTAATTGGGGGCAAGTGTTGCTCTTTGGACTGTTCAATAGAGACAGGAGGGAAAGTAGTTGTCTGTCAGGTGGCAGTGGTGTTTAGGACAATTGGGCTTTGAAGAAAGGATCTCCTGGCTTAAGCTAGGGGCTGTATAAATAGAGTTGCCAGATACTTTCACACAAAATACCGAACACGGCGGTATTTTCTGGGTTTTTTTTTTTTGTTTTTACCGTACAGAGGCCACAAATACTGGCTTGTCCGGGTGAAAACTGGACACCTGGCAACCCTATGTATAAAGTGTTATGTTAGAATTATCTTTTGTTTAAAAGTCTGATGCTCCTTTAGCCTAGCATTATTAACTCTGGCATGACAGAATCAGGCCAGATGGTTACAGGGGAGTACTGAAAGGGAGATATGTCAGCCCTAGATGAAGCAGGTCTCTGTTCCCTGGGCAAACTGGCAGGAGCTGGCCTAGAACCAGCAGGAACTTTCCAGAAGCAGACTGGACAATCAGGCCAGTTAGAACACCTGGAACCAATTATAGGAGCCTTCCAGAACCAAGGGAGTCAGGCTAATCAGAACATCTGAGGCCAATCAAAAGTCAGTTGAGAGTGGTTTAAAGGGGCTCCTCTTCTGTTAGTTCAGGTGTGAAAGGAGGAGGGAAGGAGCCAAAGAGCTGAGAGTTAAGAGGTGTCTGAGTGAGAGCTATGAACTGCAAGTAAGTCAGAGTGCTGCAGAAGAGCAGGATAGGCTGCTCAGGTACCAAAGGAAAGGTAATGGGAGGGATCATTTCAGGAAGTGGCCCAGGGAAATAGTTGCCAGACTAGGAGTTGAATAAATCCTATCTGTTGCTGCTGCTTTAGGGTCTCTGCGCCAGAACTCAGAGTAGTGGTTGGGCCTGGGTTTCCCCCAACCTTTCCCACACCACTATGAAGTCTGTCCCTGGATAGGGAGACCAGGACTATAGAGGGGTTTCACCCCATACTCTGGACTAGTCTGTGATGACTATGGCTCAGTAGGCTGTGGCCCTTGCCTATGTGGAGGCTCACAGTGAGCCTCTGAGGTTGAACACTGTCTGCCAGAAGTGCAGGACCCATGGGCATAGAGCTCTGCCACAACGACCACTGTTTACTTTGTTTGGTGTCATGTGGGGACTCCAACATCTTAAAATGCATTATCCAAATACACTAATGTGAACCTGTTTAACATAAATCACAACAATCATGGAGACAGTGTCCTAAAAACTGTAGTTTTGATCTGAAGTGCTTTTTCTGTGACTTTATACCCCTTCTGTTAATTTAATTCTTTATGGGGTTCAGTTACTCTTTTCAAAACTGTTACAAAGAAGTAATGTATATAAAACTTCTCTTAATCATATGGTACTGACCTCTACAATAATTTGTCTGTATTCAGGCTGGTCAATATTTTGCAACATGTCTTCAACGAGAAGGGAAAAATTCATCTCATACATAGTCATATCAGATAGTGTTGGCTGCTAAAAAAAGAAATGATATACACAGCATTTCATTATTTGTAACCCTTTGATTTCAACCAAAAGCATGTTCTAATAGAATTGGTTAGATTATTTGTTGCGGATTATTTATCCAACATTAACAATCTGGACTACATTAGATCAAAGAGAAGCAAATTTCTAGTCAATGATAACAGTATTCTGTTTAGGAGTTTTGTTTGAGATTCCCTGCCCCTTCAGAATATTAAAATATTTTCATTGCAGTTACAAGCAAATAGTAAATTTAAATCTTCTTATATACAGTGCTGGAAGAAGACTTTGTATGTCCAATATGTTATTTTATACTTGGAATTCTTTGTTATCTGTAACACATACTCCATGAACAGAGGAAAAAATACAATGGCAGGGCATTCAGTAGTTTAAAACTACTGTGCATGTCTCTAAATATTTTCTTTTTACCTGTGGTAAATATTTTTCTGCTACTATTACACCATTAGGGGTTCTCTCCAAGATTTGCCACACCCTGTCATAGAAACCATGGGGAGTTCGATTCAGAGAACCATCTATTTGACGTCTGTTAAGCCAACATCTGTGGACAAAACAAAATAACTTAAGGGCTAGAGAAAACAATCTGTTTCAGATTCAGAATAGCTTTCTCTGTTGATTAATTAAGCCATTAGGGTAAGCAATAACAATAAATATCCATCAATGATGCAAACAGAGTATGTGTTGCTTTTTCCTGATAAATATTTCAGATAAAAATAAAAACAGACCCTAAAGAGAACAAAAGCAAGCCAATAATCAGGATTTAGAGGCTGTAGTGACATACTTAACTGTGGGATGGTAACCTATTAAATGGCCTAAAAAATTAACACTTAAATTGATTTAACTAGAATACAAGACAGGACAAAGGTCAAATTAAACTCTGCTGTAACTCCACTAAAGTCAAAGTTACCAGGAACTAGGGAAGAATTTTACAGCACACCTATTATGTATAAGAAAATATACACATTTTAAAGGATAACAAATTTTACATTTAATTTACCAGAGATATAATTTGTTAGGCACATATGCACAGCACCAAAATGTATATATGTTGCATAAAGAAGATACTATGATTCAGGCTAGCACTTCTACAGTATAAATATTTCCTTTATTATCCCTCTTCTGTAAGTAATACAATTTATGGTGCTAGTGCAGCTTTCATATTAAATAGTTCAATTCCTACTAAGAGTACAAAAAGTATATTAAGTTACAGAGACATTTTTGCATCTTGTAATTTAAATGAAATACAATTTTTTTGAAGTTGGTAAGCTGAAATTTTGTAGGTGCTTCATCCCAAATGTCCATGCTTTACAGCATTTGTAATTTTAATGAAATTACTAGAGCTACATTAGGGAAGTTGATTCTACTGTAAATTAAACCAAAAACCATAAGGGTTTACAAGACTAGTGTAATACAATTTTGCTATGCACAAGCATTGAAAAATCATGACGCAGATCCTCCAAAATTATGAGATCATCTTAATCATGAGATTTTAAATTATAATAAATTTAGGATTCTGTTTGAGCCTTTAGTGGATCACATCTTCAAGCTTTTCTGTACAACAATAAAGGAAAGCTGCGGTTCTTACACAGAAACATGACTTCTAGAGTGGTGATTTTAAGATACTGCAAGACTGGAAACAAAACTGAAAACTGGCGGTGGTAAAGTTTGCGGATGATACCAAACTGTTTAGGATAGTCAAGACAGAAGCAGACTGTGAGGGACTCGAAAAAGATCTCACCAAACTGAGTGATTGGGCAACAAAATGGCAAATGAAATTTAATGTGGATAAGTGTAAAGTAATGCACATTGGGGAAAAATAACCCCAACTATACGTACAGTATGATGGGGGCTAATCTGGCTATGACAAATCAGGAAAGAGATCTTGGAGTTATCGTGGACAGTTCTCTGAAAACTTCCACACAGTGTGCAGCGGCGGTCAAAAAGGCAAATAGGATGCTAAGAATTATTAAGAAAGGGATAGAAAATAAGACACAGAATATCTTACTGCCCCTGTATAAAACTATGGTACGCCCACATCTTGAATACTGTGTAGGAATATTTCATAGTTACTTTTATTTAACTGAAAAAATTGTTTCCTGCAGCAGTAGTCCTCAGAGCTCTTCTGTCTGAAGGAGAAAATCTTTTTCCATGCAGCAAGAGTTTGTGCAAGCTCTCTGATCTGCACGGAGAAGGCTTTTCTGAGAAACCATACTAGGTTGTTAGGATAAGTGCCTTATTTCATACTTTATCTCTCAGCTCAACAATAGAGATGTTTTATTAAAAATTAACTAGTATTTTTAGGAGAGCATTATGTCTAACCATATACATGGCCAGACACTGGTGCCAAGAAATCAGCAAACTAAATGTTATGAATTATTTACCACACCAATTTGTGTAGACAATTTAACTTTTAATTAGTTCTGTGCTAAATAGTTTTCTATAGTTAAAAGAGTAGGTCCCATTAGGCTGTTAGAAGATGTATTACCACCTTAACCTTTCCATTGAAGATACACTCCTACCTTACAACATTTGAGTGTTTGAGCAGTGTAACAGAATAGCCACCAGTTTCAGTTACCTTTACTTTCTGTCAAGAACATAAGTGATATCTGTACTGCTGTTATGAATATTATATATACCTGTTTATATGATTACTATGATGCTGGTAGGCATCTGGGGGTCAAAGAGTTTATTTAATTCTGGCTGGCTATACAAATCTGCGGGAAGGCAAGCAACGGTTTTAGATAATTCTAGTCACAAGAACGTATGGGAACAAGCCCTGTGAAGCCTCCCTCCAGTCATGCTGGGGCTTTGGGTGGAAATCAGGAGCAAAAGATTTAAACTGGTAAAGTACCTAAGCTGTGAGCATCAGACAGACTGATCTGGAGGGAAACAGATAGTGTTCTGTTCCCAAATGCTGGAATGACTTTATGCTCTGATTTTATGTTCCAATGTGTAAATAAATAATATATATTTTTTTTTTTTTGCAAGAAGTACTCTGGAGTTGCTGTATTGTTATATTCCCAAAGGGGAGTTTCTGGGAAGTGCCAAACACAGGTAGGCCTGCTAAGGAAATATGGTAGGTGTGACAAAATGGGAATTTTCTGTAATATGCTTATGAATCCGAAGTGTGTCTCAGTTCCTCTCTATGCTTTGCAGTACTACTAGTGGAAGAAAAAGAGTTAAGCCTGTTTTTTGGGGCAGCATAGGGGACATGAGGTGCTGTCCGAGCTGTAATGGATGAATCTTTAAGAACTGGCTGAAACTGACTGAGACCGACAGAGGTTCCAGAAGCGTAATGGAAGCTCTAATGACTGAATGATCAGTGCTTTGGGTAGGTGGCTTGGTGAACCCACCACAGTATGTCTGGAGATAAAGGCTGCCTGTTCTCAACATGGATCTGTCAAAAGGAGTCAGAAAGGGACAAAGCCCATTACAGCTTGGCTAGTGGATTGCTCTGGGTTGGCCCGATGGACAAGGTAGATGGACTATATATTTATTAGTTCTGATTATGTTTGCTTCCTCTCCAGCCAACCTACAAAACTGAATTGGATCAGGACAGGAAAAGGGCCCTGAATATAGAAGTTCAAAGGGACTGTGGGCGAGATCAAAAGAGTCTTGCTCTCAAGGGAAGTGAGTCAGTTGTCTGAGGGAGCCAGAATGAAACACACTTTGCTGGGGATGTCTGAAGAAGTCAGATGTACTTAGGTTACCATCTGGGAATGGTATAAGAGGCATCTATGTAAACTGTCTCAAAATCCTTCTTGTCAAAGATTTTTTAACTACTGCTAAAACAACAACAAGAAAAAAACTTTGGTCATTATACAAAGTGACAGAGACCGACGTCTGGATCACTATATTCACCACTGATCATTGTAGCACTGGCATTGGAATTTTGTAACTAATAAGTCAGTTATAATAAATGTGTGTTATAGCAAAAGTTTGGATTAAACTTAAATACAAGATGTAGGCTTCACTCAGGGCCAGGCAGCTTTGATAGCTCCAGCTCTGTTTGACGTTAGCATGTTAAAGTGAAAGGATGGAATATTGTAATGCATAGTGATGTTAGTGTTAGATAAGACCCTGTAGTAGACAGAAAGAAGTTTAATGTTGAAAGACTATGTAACTTTGTTAAAGTGACTAGAAGTATCCCTTTGTTCCACGCTGCAATTCTGTAAGTGTGTTTGTGTGAATGAGAGAGAGAATGTTTTAGGAGAGATAAGTGTGAAGGCCACTGCATGCTCAAATGGTCAGAGGAGGGGCTGGAGACTCAGAAGCACCAAATAACAATCAAAGCACACTGAAAACAGACTACCCGGGCAGACTGACAAACCCTGAAGCTAGAGGCAAGCACTCCTTGATAGGGAACCAATCACAACTCTGCCAGAAAGACAACACCCTTGAGGGATCATCAGCATACTGATATCAGATGACACTGAGAACAACTTCCCAATAAGCATATGTCGTAGGATGACTGATTGTGATGCTGAAGGACTGACTAAGGCCTGACAAGGCAAAATGCATAGACTTGCATGGAAGGAAAATCCTATAAAAGATGGGGTGTCTTGTATGGTTCTTTGGGTTCTGTCCTTCTAAGCAAGACCATGAGCAGCATCAGTCCGGACTGACAGGAACCCAGCTCCTTCCTTGCACCTGACCTATCTGGCCAACAGGTTAGGCAGAGCAACAGACTGGTAACTATTCCATCAGTGTGTGTGTAAATGCATATGTTACTTTGTTATATTATCAATAAATGTGGCATGTTGCCTTATCCCCCATAAAAAGATCCCATGTGCTTCTTATAAGCATAACATCACCGACTTCAAAAGAGAACATGAAGAGTAAGAACGGTGAATACACAGGGTACTAGAGCAGGTCCTGGAGTGTAAGAGAGGCAGAATTATGAAACTATGGTAAGACAGGATGCCTGATACCTGAGGGGGTACACTCAAGGGAACAGATATGTGGCTAACTCTGACGTGGGTGGTTGTATATGGGATCATGACAAGGAGGATTTCCAGTAAGTGACAACAGCAATAAAAACAAGTATTGTAGAGGGAAAACCAAGAGAAAAAATTACCTATATTTCTGGGAAGCAGTCAGAAAAGAAAAAAAAACCCCGAGTTATGAAAATGACTCAGGAAAGATGAGCTGGAAGAGTTGTGAGTGAAAGGAAGCTAAACTCTAAAGAGCTGAAAAAAACCCCCACGGTTGGCCTGCTGTACGTACACAAATGATCAGAAAAGGAATTGTGGTTCAGAATTGGGTAAGGACTTGTGAAGAACACGCAGTTCACTGGTAGTCCAGCAGAGGTCAAGGAAACAGAGGCCAGAGCTAAGACAGTCTGAAGATGACAAGATCCCAGAGGGAGGTGTAGAGGATGTACACAGTGACTGAAGAAACAACCAAATGCTATAAAAAGTTCCCTGAATCAGCAGTATAGCAGAGGAAAAGCTTCAACTGGAAGAAACTAAGCTGGTGCTGTGCCAGCATGAGTAAGAAACAGCACAACCGTGTTAACAGGAGAGTCTGAGAAGGAGAGAAGGATATCCCCCTGTGGAACATATAAGGTGTGAGTACTAATTTTGGGATGAGTGTATTTGCTTGACTGTTGTTTACATTTTCAACTGTTTCAGGTGACTGCAGTTATTTCAGTTATTGTGCCAGTTGGGATTGTGTGTTTGAGAGCATTTGAGTCTTTCTTCTCTTGATCAGCTTCAATCAGCCTAGTGATCACCCTTCCACTGTGTGGTTAATGAGGGGGTAGGGCTGACCTAGGAGAGAAGCCCTTAAAAGCCAGAGACTACACGACCAGGGGAGCTTGTGACCAGGTGGTCGTTAACAGGAGAGTTTGAGAGGGAGTCCTAGTACAGCCAGTATGGTTAGGAAGGGCCACATAACTTGTGCCAACACTGCTCCTGCATCCTCCACCAGTAGCCACCTGATCATGGTCATGGTATGGTTTTGCAGAGACTGACTCGCATTACCAACTTACAGAAATCTAGGCTGGGGAGACCATCCAATGTGAAAGGTGGCTGCTGATGGAATCTTTCAGGAAGTAGGTGGAGAGCTACAGGAGGAAATGGCTAGGCTGAGGCGCATCCATACCCATGAAGAATTCCTCCAGAGTATTCATGTGGAGACATCTAAAGCTGAGGACACTATCCTGCTATAAAGGACTACTGACAAGTAGTAGTAGTAGTAGAGTAGGAGATGGTTGTCTCAGGAGGGACACTGGCAGCTGCTTACTTCTGGCGGCAAGCAGTTCTCTCACATACTCTCAACCCATCCACTGTGGTTCTGGAGAACCATTATGCTGCCTTGGAGGTAAGGAATCATCCCCTAAGGTGAGGGAGGAGGAGAAGCCAGGTATCCCTCAACACTGGTCTGTAGCCACCACTGTGAGGAGGAAACATAGGACAGTGGTGGATGGAGACTTTCTTCTGAGGAGGACAGAGGCACCCATCTGTTGCCCTGACACAACATTCCAGGAGGGATGCTGCTAGCCAGAGTCCTGTACCCAAGATGCTACAGAAGGATTGTGGAGGATTATTTGGCCCTCTGACTACTACCCCATGCTACTCATCCATGTGGGCACTAATGACACTGCAATGTGTGATCTTGAGCAGATCAAAAGTGACTACAGGACTCTGGGTATACTAGTTAAGGGGTATGGGATGCAGGTGCTGTTTTCTTCTTCTGGTCATAGGAAGAAGCACCGGCCAGATGCAGGTGAACATGCCTGTCTGCAAAGATGGTGTTGCCAGGAGGGCTTTGGCTTCCTTGACCATAAGGCATGTTCCAGGGCACATCTACACTTGCTTTCACTTTTGAAAGAAGATATGCAAATTTGGTGTGAATTTGCATATCTTCTTGCGATCGCTTTTTCGAAAGAGGTTCTTTCGAAAAAGAAAGTCTAGACATGTTTTTTTCTAGAAAAAAACCCTTTTTCGAAAGAACTTGTAAACCTCATTTTTTACAAAGAACAGTTATTTCAAAAAAAGCGATTGGAAGAAGATACACAAATTCATACTGTCTACATACAAATGCAAAAAGTATGAAGAACTTGAAATGCTAGTTAAACACAACTATCACATTTTTGGTATCACAGAGACTTGGTGGGATAATACACATGATTGGAATATTGGTATAGCAGGGTACAGCTTGCTCAGGAAGAATAAGCAGAGAAAAAAGGAGATGTTGCCTTTTATATTAAAAATGTATACACTTGGACTGAAGCTAAGATGGAAACAGGGGATAGACTTGTTGAGAGTCTCTGGGTTAGATTAAAAGGGGTTAAAAAAAGAGGTTGATTATCATGGGAGGGATCTACTACAGACCTTGTAATCAGGAAGAAGAGAGAGAGGAGGCTTTTTAAAAAACTAACAAAATCATCTGTAGCACAGGACTTGGTAGTGATGGGGGACTTCAACTATCCAGACATCTGTTAGAAAAACAACACAGCAGGGCACAGATTATCCAACAAGTTCTTGGAATGTATTTGAGACAATTTTTTTTTTATTTCAGAAGGTGAAAAAAGGTACTGGGCAAGGTTGTTCTAGATTTGATTTTAACAAATAGGGAGGAACTGGTTAAGAATTTGAAAGTGAAAGACAGCTTGGGTGAAAGTGATCATGAAATCATAGAGTTAATTATTCTAAGGAATGGTAGAAGGGGGAACAGCGAAGTAAAGATATTAGATAGCAAGAAGACTTACATTAGTAAACCCAGGGAGCTGATAGACTTGCTTCCCATGGGACCTTGCCGAAGAGGGAAAACAACTGAAGACAGTTGGCAGTTTTTCATTATTAAGGATGCAAAAGCAAACTATTCCACTGCGTAGAAAAGACAAGAAGTATGGCAAGAGACCGCTACACTTACTCAGAAGATCTTGAATGATCTAAAAAATAAAAAAGGAGTCCTACAAAAAGTGAAAACTAGTAAAAAAGTGCAAAGGATGAATATAAACAAACACTACAAATATGTAGGTGCAAAATTACAAAGGCAAAGGCACAAAATGAGCTCAATCTAGGTAGAGTCATAAGAGTAACAAGAAAACAATTTACAAATATATTAGAAGCAAGAGGAAGACATACACCTATTGCTCAATTAAGAGGGAGAAACAATAACAGAAAATGTAGAAATTGCAGAGGTACTTAACAACTTCTTTGTGTCGATTTTCACCAAGAAGGTTGGTGGCGATTTGATGCCTAATATAGTGAATGACAGTGAAAATTGGGTAAGTTCAAAAGTTGAAATAGGAAAAGAACAAATTAAAATTACTTCTTCAAATTACCACGGTGTGATGGAACACATCCTACAATACTCAAGGAACTGATTGAGGAAGCATATCATCTTTGAAAAGTCATGGAAGATGGGATAGATTCCAGAAGACTAAAAATGGGAAAATATAGTGCCCATCTATAAAAAGGGAAATAAGGACAACCCAAGACACTACAGACCAGTCAACATAACTTCTCTGCCAGGAAAGATAATGGAGCAAATAATTAAGGCATGCATCTGCAAACATGTGGATGTTAAGGTGATTAGTAACAGCATGGATTTGTCAAGAACAAATCCTATCAAAGCAATCTGATAGTCCTCTCTGATAGCAGAAGTAGTCTTGGGGATACGAGGAAGTAGTAGATGTGGTTTACCTAGACTTTAGTAAAGCATTTGATACAACCTCACAAGACCTACTTATCAATAATCTAGAGAAATACAATGTAGATGAGGTTACTATAAGGTGGCTGCATAATTGGTTAGATAACTGTTCTCAGAAAGTAGTTATTAGTGGTTCACAATCATAACAAGTGGGTTCCACAGGGGTTAGTTTTGGGACCAGTTCTGTTCCTTTAAATAATGGCATAGAGCAGGGGTTGGCAACCTACGGCACGTGTCATCAGTGGCATGAGAGCTGATCTTCAGTGGCATGCAGGCAGGAGCTCAGTCCCGCCCCTCCCCCATACAGCATGGAGCCTGCACTGTCACTTGAGCCTCAAAGACAGCTAGCACAGGTAGGGAGTTCAGCTGATTGGCAGAGGGTGGGGCATTGTCAAGCAGCTGCTAAAGGGAGCTGCTCTGTGCTTGAAATGAAGCAGCAAGATAAGGAGGTGTTAATGGCTTAGATTTACAAACACCTAAAGAGACAGATAGGTGCCTAATGGGAATTGCATTTGTTTTCATTTGACATTTAATGTGAGTGAGACATGTGGGGTTCTCGGTAGTGAAAAGCAGGTAAGGCACCCATCTGTCTCTTCTGGCATCCAAATGCCTCTGTATATCTGGCTCTAGATCTAAAAAACAAAGCTAAAGGCCCTGATGGGAACTGTCATCAAAAGCACAACTCATGATTTTTCCCTATGGGTATGTCTACACTACCACCCTAGTTCGAACTAGGATGGTTAATGTAGGCAACCGGAATTGCAAATGAAGCCCGGGATTTGAAATTCCCGGGCTTCATTTGCATATTGCCTGGCGCCGCCATTTTTAAATGTCCGCTAGTTTGGACTCCGTGCCCGCGGCTACACGCGGCACGAACTAGGTAGTTTGGATTAGGCTTCCTATTCCGAACTACCGGTACACCTCGTGGAACTACCTAATCCGAACTACCTAGTTCGTGCCGCGTGTAGCCGCGGGCACGGAGTCCAAACTAGCGGACATTTAAAAATGGCGGCGCCAGGCAATATGCAAATGAAGCCCCGGAAATTCAAATCCCGGGCTT